TACTTCTCCTATTGTTACCTTAAAGTAGGTTTTTAATTCTAATATGACTGTTCTCCTGGGTGTCCTTGGGAATGTGTCCACCGGCAGCAAGAAGGCAAAGGAGACTCATCTAGATTTCTCTTCAAGGGCATGGATCAAAGGAATCCTCAAGGGAGCAATTGCTACTTTATCTGGCCACCATCCATGTCACGTACCTGGACTCCTCTCGGAAATTCCAAGAGTAGGTCCTTGGGGTGTTACTTAACTGTAGCCTCTTCATAGTTTACAAAGGCCCAAGTGTTTTGGCTTATTCCTATGTTTTCAGCTGCCTGTGATATTTCCAGTTACCAAGCTCCAGCCACACTGGATTTCTTCTGTTCTTAGAACAGCAGGATTTTTCCTTTTATAAAGTTTTTTTACTTGGCCTTTTTTAGAAAGCTATTCTCTTAGGTCTTCTCATGCTACCTTCCTGTTCTACAGGTTTTACTTACATTTTACCTCCACAGAAGGTATTTTCTGACCAACTAAAGTAACCATCCTGTTACCTTACTACATTATCTTCCTTTTTTCTAACTAATTCTTATCATTGTCTGTAATTATTGTTTACCCATTTGTGCACTTTATCATCTGGCTAGCATAAACATTTTACGAGAGCAAGAACTTTGCTTATACACCTGTGTACTTCAAACATCTGGAGCAGAGCCTAGGAAAGAAGCATTTACTAAATTAAATAATGGAGAAAAATGTCTTTCTGTTGCCTCTGCAACTTGCTAGGTAAGGAAGAGGAGCTCTGGCTGCTCCTGGAGTTGTGGAGGGGCCTCCTGTGTGGCCTAAGGAGTCTGACTGCACATTCAGTCCACAAAGGAGACTCCACAGCCCTTTGGTCGGGTGCAGGACTGAAGGGCATTGTGCAGCCCACCCTGAACCCCTGGGGCTGTTTTCTTCTCTATGAAGGGCAAGGCTGGAGAATATTTTCTCTCAGAGTGAAGGGACATAGTTACTTCCTCCTTCCCTTTCTCTCTCTCTTCCACAAATATTTCTTATGCAGTAGAACTTAGCTCAGTTCTCAGTCCACAGTTTAAACCATGAACAAGGTAGATACAATCTCCAATCGTCCCGTACTTATAGACCAGCAAACCTGTCGGACAAGAAGCAATTATGATTTGGTGAAAGAGGCGCTCTGAGAGGAGCCGGGCTTAGAAGGGGATTCTCCTGCTCACCTGGATTCACATCAGATAAAGAAGAGGGTGAGGAAACATGCAGGGTGCACAAGGTGGATACTCAAAAGACCCAAATAATCCAGGATGCTTATGTTTCACCAGGCAGCTGTAATGCTGGCTTCAGTTATAAATAATGGACTTAACACCTGCTATGTCTGCCCCCTCCACATATTTATTTTACTTGCCTGGCACCTGAAGGAAATTTTAGGATACTAGAGCAACTGGGCTTAGAATTCACGGACTAGGGTTCAGATTGTCACTTATGTCATCAGACAACTCTTATGTATGACAAAGTTTAAAGCAATCTCATTAGACATCAAGCAACATGATTTAGCAATGAATCCTTTCCTGTTTACTGCTTGTTCCCAGCAAGCCTGGCACATAGTAGGTATTCAAGAAATACCTGTAGACTGTTAAGTTGTTGTGAGACAATCAATGAAACCAAAAACTCATTAAACTTCGATTTCCTCATGTATAAAATGAGGGCAGTAATGGATGCCTTAAAAGGTTGGTAAGAATGTAAATAAAATAACATTGGAGGGATCATATATTATAATCCCTGCCTCATATTACCTTCATTAAGTAAAGGTTAGTTAAATCTGGATCCATGAGTGAGGAGTAGACACATTGGTGTACACTGTGATAAATGTAGATTCTAACCTTTCTATTTGTGCTCTTCTGCCTGCTTAGACTGGAAAGCAAAAACCTACCTCCCCGGTCTCCTTTGCAGGTTGGTTTTGTGATTCAGTTCCGTGAATCTTATAACCTCGTCAGAGATGTAAATTCGGAACTGAGTTAAGTAGGCAGAGAAGCAGGATGTGAGGCATCCACTTTTACTAGCGTCCTCAGTAGCAGACAAGCATGGTTCTAGAGCTGGCAGATATGGTGGCTTCCTGAGGGCCTCCTGTGTGAGTCAGGAGCAGCAGTGGCTTTGGGATTATTCCACGAATCAAAGCCCATGGTCTTTATTTCAGCAGCTTCTCCTCAAAAAATAATTCTCGGAGCCATTTAATGTGATATGTATTTGTTTTTTAGGACCGTCACAACAAAAATCACCACAAATCGTATCACTTAAAACAGCAAAAATTCTCTAACAGTACTAGAGGCTTAGGACCATGCTCCCTATGAAGGCTCCAGCAAGACTGTTCCCTTTTCCCGCCCTGGCTTTTGGTGCTTGCTAACAATTCCTGGTGTTCCTTGACTTATAGGTGCATCACTCCAAGCTTTGCCTCTGTTGTCACATAATCTTCTTTCCCATCTGTGTTTCTGTGTCTTCACTTTTTCCCTCTAAAAGGACCCTAGCCACTGAACTCAAGGCCCCTTCTAATACAGTATGATCTTTTATAAATAACTAATTACATATTCAAAGACATTATTTCTAAATCAAGTCACATTCTGGGGTTCTGGGTGGACATGAATTTTGGACGGACACTATTTAAACCAGCACACAGTATCATAATTTCATGTTACTCAAACTATCTGGAGTGAATTTTCTTCTTTGACACCAAACCTTGCTGGTTTGGGTAAAATCTGAGGCTGCTGGTCAACGCTGACATTGTAGAATTCGTCTCAATGTGAAATGTTTGTCTTGTGTATTGTGATTGCCAGCTTCAGGCTTTGGCACCGGCAACCATGCAGAAAACTTCATTGAAGGAGGGTTTCACTTATTTAGTCATTTATGATCATTCACATTTGTATGGGAGAAGCAGCAAACTTATTCTCTGGAAGATTAGAGAGCCATTTCCTTAGGCTCACTTGTCACTTTGTCCTTTCAGCCCTCCTAGTGCACTATTGAGACTGCCTACTTTTTTCTAAAATAAAAAAAAATACATATATATTTCCATAGGTTATTGAGGAAGAGATGGTGTTTGATAACATGAGTAAGTTCTTTAGCGGTGATTTGTAAGATTTTGGTGCACCCATCACTTGAACAATATACATTGCATTTAGTTTGTAGTCTTTTATCCCTCACCTCCTTCCACCCTTTCCCCCTGAGCCTCTAAAGCCCATTTTGTGATTCTTATGCTTTTGTATCCTCATAGCTTAGCTTCCACTTATGAGTGAGAACATGCAATGTTTGACTTTCCACTCCTGAGTTCCTTCACTTACAATAATAGTCTCCAATGTCATCCAGGTTGCTGTGAATGCCATTAATTCATTCCTTTTTATGGCTGAGCAGTATGCCATTGTGTGTGTGTGTGTGTGTGTGTGTGTGTGTATTTCCATGTATACATGTATGTATGCATGTACATATACACACACACACATATATATATACATATATATAAAGAAACTGATTTATCCACTCATTGATTGACGGGCATTTGGGTTGGTTCCACATTTTCTCAATTGTGAATTGTGCTGCTATAAATATGCATATGCAAATATCTTTTTTGTTTAATACCTTCTTTTCCTCTGGGTATCTACCCAGAGATAGTTCCACTTTTAGTTCTTTAAGGAATCTTCACAATGTTTCTAATAGTGGTTGTACAAATTTACAGTCCCACCAGCAGTGTAGAAGTATTCCCCATTCACTGCATCCACAAAAGCATCTATGATTTCTAGATTTTTTTCATTATGATCATTCTTGCAGGAGTAATGTGGTATTGCATTGCGGTTTTGATTTACATTTCCCTAATCATTAGTGATGGTGAGTGTTTTTTCATATGTTTGTTGGCCCCTCATTTGTATATCTTCTTTTGAGAATTTTCTATTCATTTCCTTAGCCCACTTTTTGATGGGATTGTTTGCTTTCTCTTGCTAATTTGTTTGAGTTCTTAGTCCTCTGTCAGATGTGTAGATTGTGAAGATTTTCCCCCACTCTGTGGATTGTCTCTTTATTCTGCTGACTGTTCCTTTTGCCATGCAAAGCTCTTTAGTTTAATTAAGTCTCAGCTATTTGTCTTTGTTTTTATTGCATTTGCTTTTTGGTTCTTGGTCATAAAATCCTTGCCTAAGCCAATGTCTAGAAGGGTTTTGCTGATGTTACCTTACAGAATTTTTGTAGTTTCAGGTCTTAAATTTAAGTCCTTAATCCATTTTGACTCGATTTTTGTATAGGGTGAGAAATGAGGATCCAGTTTCATCCTCCTACATGTGGATTGCCAATTATTCCAGCACCATTTGTTGAATAGTGTCCTTTCCTCACTTTATGTTTTTGTTTACTTTGTCAGAGATCAGTTGGCTGTTAGTATTTGGGTTTATTTCTGGGTTCTCTTTTCTTGGTCTATGTTCCATTGGTCTATGTGCTGATTTTTATACAAATACCATGCTGTTTTGGTGTCTATGGCCTTATAATATAGTTTGAAATCAGGTAGTATGATGCCTACAGATTTGTTATTTTTGCTTAGCCTTGCTTTGGCTATCTGGGCTTCTTTTTGGCTCCATATGAATTTTAGGAATGTTTCTTCTAGTTCTGTGAAGAATGATGGTGATATTTTGATGGGGATTGCAGTGAATTTCTATACAGGTATTGATCGACTTATGACCTATGCAACTTACGACCATTCGACTTTACGACCACAATCGCTAGCCACGACTGCTCCACGTCTGGCAGCGCAAACGCTGCCCAGCTGGGCGTACGACAGTGTGGACCAGCTTCCGGCAGCACTACCATCTCCACGTGCACCATTTCAACCATTACCCCAGACTCGGTACAGCAATTTGTGTTTTGTGTCTTGGATATTTTTCATCAAACCCCTCCCAAGATATCTACCAGGAGGAAGTTGTCTTTGTCTACGCCTCAGCCTCCGGAGAAGGAAAGAAAAGCCATCGATCTCGACACGAAAATGAAGGTAATTAAGCAGTACGAAGGAGGAAAGAAAGTGAATGTGATTGCACATGATACGAAGTTATCACACTCGACTGTGTCAACGATTTTGAAAGGTAAAGAAAGAATTCATGAAGCTGTGAAAGGTTCTGCACCCATGTGATCAATAGTTATAAGAAAGCAACGAAGCGGGCCCATACACAAAATGGAGAAATTGCTATATATTTGGATCGGAGCTCAAATTCAAAAACGGAGTTGTACCGGTAACGCACTGTTTTACTTAAACCTGACGAATGTAAAAATAAGAAACAAAATGGTGTAAAGATGATACAAATGGCCTAAAATGAGCAAAGAAAATTATGATATATAACAATGAAAGAAAATTATGATAAAATATGACTTAAAGATTTTTTTTTTTTTTGAGACGGAGTTTCACTCATGTTACCCAGGTTGGAGTGCAATGGCGCGATCTCGGCTCACCGCAACCTCCGCCTCCTGGGTTCAGGCAATTCTCCTGCCTCAGCCTCCTGAGTAGCTGGGATTACAGGCACGCACCACCATGCCTAGCTAATTTTTTGTATTTTTAGTAGAGACAGGGTTTCACCATGTTGATCAGGAAGGTCTCGATCTTTTGACCTCGTGATCCACCTGCCTCGGCCTCCCAAAGTGCTGGGATTACAGGCTTGAGCCACCGCACCCGGCCACTTAAAGATTTTTATAACATCATTTCACAGTACTGTACATATAGCCTACTCAACTTACGACGAAATCGTGTTACGACCGATCTGTCGGAACCCATCGTGGTCGTAAGTCGAGCACTAGCTGTATTGCTTTTGGCAGTATGATCATTTTCACAATACAGCTAGTGCTCGACTTATGACCACGATGGGTTCCGACAGACCGGTCGTAACACGATTTGGTAGTAAGTTGAGTAGGCTATATGCACGCAGAGATGGTAGTGCTGCCGGAAGCTGGTCCACACTGTCGTACGCCCAGCTGGGCAACGTTTGCACTGCCAGACGTGGAGCAGTCATGACTAGCGATTGTGGTTGTAAAGTCGAATGGTTGTAAGTTGCATAGGTCGTAAGTCGATCAATACCTGTATTGATTCCACCTATCTATGAGCATGGGATGTGTTTCCATTTGTTTGTGTTGTTTCTTTCAGTAGTGTTTTGTAGTTTTCTTTGCAGAGGTCTTTCACCTCCTTGGTTAGGTATATTCCTTGAGTTTTTGTTTGTTTGTTTGTTTTTAAATTATAGCAATTGTAAAAGGGGTTGAGTTCTTGAGTTCTTGATTTGATTCTCAACTTGGTCATTTTTAGTGTATAGGAGATCTACTGATTTTCCTACTTTTTTTGAGATGGAGTTTTGTTCTGTCACCCAGGCTGGGGTGCAGTGGCATGATCTCAACTCACTGCAACCTCCACCTCCTGGGTTCAAGCAATTCTCCTGCCTCAGTCTCCTGAGTAGCTGGGCATGTGCCATATGCCACCACACCCAGCTAATTTTTGTATTTTTAGTACAGATGGGGTTTCACCAGGCTGGTCTTGAACAACTGACATTAGGTGATCCACCCACCTTGGACACCCAGAGTGCTGGGATTAGAGGCATGAGCCACTGCACCCAGCTAGTGTACATTAATTTTGTGTTAGGAAACTTTGCTGAATTCTTTTATCATATGTAGGAGCTTTTGGGGTGATTTATTAGGTTTTTCTAGCTATATAATCATGTCATTAGCAAACTGACAGTTTGACTTCCTCTTTAATGATTTGAATGACCTTTGTTTCTTTCTCTTGTCTGATTGCTATGGCTAGGACTTCCAATACTATGTTGAATAGAAGTGGTGAGAGTGGCCATCATTGTTGTGTTCTGGTTCTCAGAGGGAGTGCTTTCAACTTTTCCCCATTCAGTATTATGTTGGCTGTGGATTTGTCATAGATGGCTTTTATTACATTGATGTATGTTCTTTGTATGCCAATTTTGCTGAGAGTTTTAATTATAAAGGGATGCTGGATATTGTTGAATGCTTTTTCTGCATCTATTGAAATGATCATGTGATTTTAAAAAAATTCTGTTTATGTGGTTTATCACATTTATTGACTTATATATGTTAAACCATTCCTACATTCCTGGTATGAAACCCACTTGATCATATTGGATCATTTTTTAGATATGCTGTTGGATTCGGTTAGCTAGTATTTTATGAAGGATTTTTGTATCTATGTTTATCAGGCACATTGGTCTATAGTTTTCTTTTCTGGTTATGTCTTTTTCTGGTTTTCATATTGGGGTGATACTGGCTTCATAGAATGATTTAGGGAGGATTCCTTCTTTCTCTGTCTTGTGGAATAGTGTCAATAGGATTGGTACCAATTCTTTGAATGTTTGGTAGAATTTAACTCTGAATCTGTCTGGTCCTGAACTTTTTTTGTTGTTGGTAATTATTATTATTTGAATCTTGCTGCTTGTTATTGGTCTGTTCAGGGTATCTAATTATTCCTGACTTAAGCTAGGAGGGTTGTAGTTTTCAGGAATTTATCCATCTTTTCTAGGTTTTCTAGTTTATGTAAAGTGGCCATAGTAGTTTTGAATGATCTTTTGTATTTCTGTGTTATCAGTTGTAATGTCTGCTGTTTCATTTCTAATTGAGCTTATTTGGATTTTCTCTCTTCTTTTCTTGGTTAATCGTGCTAATGGTCTATCAATTTTATTTATCTTTTCAAAGAACCAGCCTTTTGTTTCATTTATCATTTTTGTTTTTGTTTCAATTTCATTTAGTTCTGCTCTGATCTTGGTTATTTCTTTTCTTCTGCTGGGTTTGGGTATGTCTTCTTGTTTCTCCAGTTCCTTGAGGTGTGACCTGAGATTGTGCTCTTTCGGACTTTTCAATATAGTGGTTTAGGGCTATGAACTTTCCTCTTAGCTCCACCTTTGTGGTATCCCAGAGGTTTTGATATATTGTGTCACTATTGTTGTTCAGTTGAAAGAGTCTTTAAATTTCCATCTTGATTTCATTGTTGACCCAATGATCATTCAGGAGCAGGTTATTTAATTTTCATATATTTGTATGGTTTTGAAGGTTCCTTTTGGAGTTCATTTCCAGTTTTGTTTCACTGTGCTCTGAGAGAATGCTTGATATAATTTCACTTTTCTTAAAGCGTATTGATGCATTTTTTTGTGGGCTAGCATATGGTCCATCTTGGAGAAAGTTCCATGCTCTGATGAATAGAATGGATATTCTGCAGTTTTGGGGTAGAATGTTCTGTAAATATCTGTTAAGTCCATTTGTTGCGTGGTATAGATTAAATCCATTGTTTCTTTGTTGACTTTCTGTCTTAATGACTTATCTAGTGCCGTTGGTGGAGTATTGAAGTCCTTCACTATTATATTGTTGCTATCTATGTCATTTCTTAGGTCTAGTAGTAATTGTTTTATAAATTTGGTAGCTCTAGTGTTAGATGCATACATATTTAAGCATGTGATGTTTTCCTGTTGGACAAGGCCTTTTATCATTATAGTGTCCCTCTTTGTCTTTTTTAACTGCTGTTGCTTTAAAATTTGTTTTGTCTGATATAAGAATGGCTACTCCTGCTTGCTTTTGGTGTCTATTTCCATGAAATGTCTTTTTCCACTCCCTTATCTTAAGTTTATGTGGATCCTTATGTGTTAGGTGAGTCTCTTGAAGGCAGCAGGTAGTACGTTGGTAAATTCTTATCCATTCTGCAATTCTGTATCTTTTATGTACAGCACTTAGGCCATTTACAATGGTATTATTGGGATGTGCAGTACTATTCCATTCATTGCACTATTTGTTGCCAGTATACTTTGGCTTTTTGTGTTGTTACTGTTTTTTTTTATTTGTATTTTTGTCCTGTGAGATTTGTGCTTTAAAGAGGTTATGTTTTGATGTGTTTCCAGGATTTGTTTCATGATTTAGAGCTCCTTTTAGCAGTTCTTGTAGTGCTGGCTTAGTAGCAAATTCTCTCAGTATTTGTTTGTCTGAAAAAGACTATATCAGTCCTTCATTTATGAAGCTTAATTTTGCGGGATACAGAATTCTTGGCTGATAATTGTTTTGTTTAAGGAAGTTGAAGATAGGACTCCAATCCCTTCTACCTTGTAAGGCTTCTGCTGAGAAATCTGCTGTTAATCTGATAGGTTTATAGGTTATAGGTTACCTGATGCTTTTGCCTCACAGCCCTTAAGATTCCTTTCTTCATCTTAACTTTAGATAACCTGATGACAATGTGCCTAGGTGATGATATTTTTATGATGAAATTTTAGGTGTTCTTTGAGCTTCTTGTATTTGGATGTCTAGTTCTCTAGCAAAACTGGGGAACTTTTCCTTGATTATTTCCCCAAAGCTTTTTCAAACTTTAGATTTCTTTTCTTCCTTAGAAACACTGATTATTCTTAGGTTTGGTAATTTAACATAATCCTAGACTTCTGGGAGGCTTTGTACATGTTTGCTTATTCTTTTTACTTTGTTTTGTTGAATTGGGTTAATTAGAAAACCTTGTCTTCAAGCTCTGAAATTTTTTATTCTGCTTATTCAGTTCTATTGCTGAGACTTTTCAGAGGATTTTGTTTTTCTATAATTGTGTCCATTGTTTCCTGAAGTTTTGATTGTTTTTTATTTATGCTATCTCTTTCACTGAAGATTTTTCCCCTCATTTGCTGTATCATTTTTTTTTTTAATTCCCTTATCTTGGGCTTTGCTTTTCTCTCATGCCTCCTTGATTAGCTTAATAACTGATCTTCTGAATTCTTTTTCATGTAAATCAAGGATTTCTTCTCGGTTCGGATCCATTGCTGGTGAGCTAGTATGAAATTTTTGGGGGTGTTAAAGAACCTTGTTTTGTCATATTATCAGAGTTGGTTTTCTTTTTTTTTTTTCTTATTTGGATAGGCTTTGTCAGAGGGATAGTCTAGGGCTCAAGGCTGTTGTTCAGATTTTTTTGTCCCATGGGGTGTTCCCTTGATACAGAACTCTCCCCATTTTCTTTTTCCTTTTTTTCCCCCATTTATTTTATTGCATTTTAGGTTTTGGGGTACATGTGAAGAACATGCAAAATTTTTGCATAGGTACACACGTGGCATTGTGATTTGCTGCCTTCCTCCCCATCACCTACATCTGGCATTTCTCCCCTTGCTATCTCTCCCCAGCTCCCCACCCCCCACCGTCCCTCCCCTATTTCCCCCCAACTGACCCCAGTGT